ACTCAACACTCACTGCTCAACCATCCCCTGCGGAGATCAAGGAAGCCCTCTTTGATATTCATCCAGATAAAGCCCCGGGGCCTGATGGCTTTTTAGCAAGTTGCTTCCAGTCTAACTGGAACACGGTGGAACCTGAGATCGTAAAAGAAACCCTCAGCTTCTTCGAGTCGGGTACCCTGCCAAGAAACATCAACGCCACTCACATCAGACTTATTCCAAAGATACAAGGAGCTAAGGTAGTAGCAGACTACATACCTATTGCGCTCTGTAATATTTACTACAAAATCATCTCAAAGATACTCGCCAAGAGACTCAAACCTGTGCTACAGAGTATAATATCAGAAAATCAATCGACTTTTACCACTGGAAGAGCAATCTCTGACAACGTTATGATAACCCACGAGATGTTGCACTTCCTGAAAAACTCAAAAGCGGAAAAGCAAGTATCAAAGGCTATAAAGACCGACATGAGCAAAGAATACGATAAGGTTGAATGAGCATTCATAAATCAAGTGGTAAGAAGGCTTGGTTTCCATGAAAAATGGATTACCTGGATTATGCAGTGTATCACCACTATAACATACTCCTTCCTAATAAACGGGCAAGCGCAAGGAAGTGACATCCCACAGAGGGGTATTCGCCAAGGTGACCCTTTATCACCTTACATCTTCATCCTCTGCAGAGAAGTGCTCTCTGGACTATGCAAAAAAGCTCTCGGAGAAGGATCACTACCAGGAATCAGAGTGTCGAGAAAGTCTCCAAGTATAAACCACCTGCTCTTTGCAGATGACACCATGATATTCTGCAAAGCAAGTCCAAAATGCTGCTCGATACTCAAAAACATCTTGCTAGAATACGAACTGGCGTTAGGACAGATGATTAATACAAACAAATCTTCAATCACGTTTTCAGCAAAAACTCCACAAAGTATAAATAGAAGAGTCAAGAATGATCTAGGTATTCACAATGAAGGCGGCATTGGCAAGTACCTGGGTCTACCATAGCATTTTGGTAAACACAAGAATGATCTCTTCACGGCAATTGTTGATCGTATCAGATAACGAGCAATCAGTTGGTCCTCTAAACACCTCTCTAATGCTGGGAAACTTACGCTTCTCAAGTCTGTTTTGGCCTCCATGTCCACATATGCCATGTCTTGCTTCCTCTTGCCAATCAGTCTCTGTAAGCGCATACAATCGACATTAACAAGATTTTGGTGGGATGCTAATCCTGAAAAGAAGAAGATGTGCTGTGTAGTATGGCAGAAACTAACGGTTTCGGGGGGGGCTTGGTCTGCGAGACGTTCAAACCTTTAACAAAGCTCTGCTGGGAAAGCTCACCTGAAGAATCCTCACCAACCCAAGCAGCCTCCTCGCAAGGATCGTAAAAGCTAAATATTTTACTTCCTATGATTTCCTGGTTTCCTGGAAGCAAAACTGCCATCTCTCAACTCCCATGGCTGGAAAGGTATACTAGAAGGAAGGGATCTCATCAAACCTCATCTGAGAATGGCCATTGGTAATGGAGAAGACACTAGAGCCTAGCTCGGTCCGTGGATCTCTGTATCGAAGCAACTCCAACCCTACTGCCCCATTGAGGAAGAATCCATTAACCTTAAAGTCTCGGATTTGATAGACCAAGATTCAAAAGAGTGGAGCATACCTCATGTAGAAAAGAAATTTCCCCATCTCGTGCAAGACATCCTACAAATCGCCCCAAGCAAACTTAATGCAAAAGACCGCTTCATTTGGTTACCACAAGCAAACGGTGAATACACTACTCGGCCAGGGTACCATGCTGCAAGAGAAATGGAGAATCCACCAAACTTACAAAACCATGGATCTTCAAACTTCAACTGGATACGCCACGTCTGGTTCAAGAACTTCTCACCAAAGCTGAAACTTTTCATGTGGAAAATCCTATAAATGCAATTCCAATCAGTGAAAACCTAGCAAAAAGAGATCTTTTGGCTAGTGAGAACTACATCAGATGTGGTTTACCAGAAACAGCCGCTCACCTGTTCTCTCACTGCAATTATGCTAAGGAGGTTTGGAGAAGAATCCCACTTACAGAAGAGCTAAATCTCTCCTAAGCTCAAACATTCATGGAGGATCTACTAATATCCCGAAAAGCGCTACCTTTACCACTGCTGGGAATCAACATCGATTCACTCTTTGCCTGGATCTGCTGGTCCCTCTGGTCAGTATGGAATCTCTTCATCTTCAAGAATAGGGGATCACATCCCATAGACATCCTCACAAAAGCAACTTCAGATGCCCGAGAATGGGTTATGGCGCAAGTAACTCGAAGCACCAGCTAACAGACCAGAGAACTTCCTCACACAAACACAAGCCACTTAGCACCGCGGGATGCTATCTGATGCAATACCGACGCAGCATGGAACTCATCAGCCGGAGAAGCGAGACGTGGATGGATCTTCCATAACCAAACCGGTAACTACTTTCTCGAGGGCTCCAGCTCGAAGACATGCACCCGATCTCCACTCACAGCCGAAACCCTTGCCATAAGAGAAGCTTTACAATATGCAACCACCCTTGGCATTTCAAAAATCTGCATCTTGTCAGATTCACAAGTGCTTATCCACAACATCAACACCAATACCAGATCGACGGAGCTCTACGGAATCTTCTCAGATATCAGAATTCTATCTGTAATTTTTCTTTTCATCTCTTTCTCGTTTGTTCCCAGAACCTTGAATCGTCTAGCCGACGATCTGGCTAAAGCAGCTCTTGGGCCTGCTTCTGTTATATTGGGCTAGAACTATTTGGGCCAGATTCTTTTAATATTAATTCAGATGATCAATTAAAAAAAACTTTTAAGATCACAAAAAAGTTGTCCATAAAAATTTGGCGTTGTCGAAGATTGTTCTTGAGTTCTTTTTTGGATGATTTTTGCTTGTTCAGATCAACAAATAAAGAATAAAGAAGCTCATTTATTATTTTAAAATACTTTGATTGATCATATATAGAAGTATTATAAAAATGGTTTTATTGAGTAATATGATATTTTTTATGTACTTTTATTACTGGAGTTATGTGTATTTAATAATTATTTATATGTAATTTTTTTAATATTTTAATTATTCAGTATCTTATGTAATATTTTATTGAGTATATGTTTATAAGTATTTGTAATTTTTTTATCCTTATAATTAATTATTGTAAATATTATAAAAAAAATCTAGGGATGAATTTGAGATTTTATCATTAAAGCAATAGACTCTTAAATTCTTATTTTGAGAATTTGTCACCCTCAAAATGATGTTTGTGGTTGGAAATGTTGTTAGTGTTGTTAACGAACTTTATCCAGGTCTTTCTTCATGAATATAAGAAATGGCAAAACTTTTAGTATTGGAGGGGTGAGGCCAAATAAGCTTTCTAAATGTTAATATGGTCTAATATTAACTATCTAATATTTATGTAGGTGCGGTTTAATTCAGCTATCAAATACTTTTGAATGATGTAAAAGTAAAAAATATAATATAAGAATTATTAATTAATCGATAACTTAATAATTATAAATATTTTTTAATTTAAACTGTTACTTTTTATCAAGAAATAATTAAGAAAATATTGAGTAAAATTTGTTCAAAAATATTGTATCAATAAATTTGAAAAATTAACCAAACAACATTAATAAACTTAAAATAACAATAAAGTCACATTTTACTAAATTATCTTAATTATATATATAAAAATATATAATTATCAATTTATCTTATTAATAATGACATATTGGAGGTTTTGATTTGTAAGGCCATCTGATTGGCGGAAGAGTTTGGAAAGATGAGTATGCCAAGTTACTCATGCAAACATTTTTCTATATGTTTATATTTTTCTGATTGGTGGTGTATGATTATGCATCATTGACATTTTTTATCTGTTTTTGAACATGCTTTTTGATGGCGAAAATAATTTAACTTTTTGTGGTTTATGATTATGTATCGGTGACAATTTCAACTCCTTTTCAACATTCTCTTTAACTTTGATTTTCATTAGGTTTTTGGATTTTTTTTTAATTTTGTTTACTATTTAGTAGTTTTGAGGGATTGTTTTGGGCTTCTTGAATAATTAAATAATATGACATGGAGTCCTAAGCCCAAATATATTGCAGTTGTTGTAATAATCCCATAAAGAGAAAAAGTAGTTAATGATATGGACTATGACTATACCACATGTATGAGTTTCCTCTTAATAGAGTCAAAGTATCTTAAATGGATCATTACTGCAAATTGACCAATGCAATTATGCAAATACCTTCTTCCACTTGTAAGATGAGACAAACCATTTGGGTTTGGGCTTCGATTTCTTTTTCAGCCCATTTGATATTTATATTGTAATTTTAACATTTATATGGGCCAATCGATAAAGTTTGCTCTTACATTACAGTACTTAACAAAAGTAAACTTATTTTTGTTAATAATTAATTGCATAACCTTGGGTAGGCCACAGTCACACGAGCTTGCTCTTCCACTCGACATTCGAAAAAAATATGGGAAAACACGTCCGCCTTGATTTCAGTGATCAAAGCATTTAAATCTTCTTTAGTTAACAAAATGCCATTTAACAATTAAATATCTTTTCAAGACTAAATTCCACTTTTACATAACCAAAGTATTTTCACCAACTCTACTCTGCTTTCCAATGCTTATAAGTTATGTACTCTTTTTTTATTTGTCAAGATAAATTATGTACATTACCGATTATTTCCAATGTACAAATTATATTAAAATCACGAGGAGATATTAAAAAAACATGCAAAAAAATGTATACTTTTACCCTCTAAATATTTCACGGACAATACCGAAAATAAAGCTTTGTCACGTGTCAACCACACAAAAAATGCATACTAGCAAAAGAAAAATAAGAAGTTAACAAAATAAACAAAACTGAAATAGTATCTCGCTACATTACAACATAAACTCGTAGTTTATTACAATTTGGTTATAGGTAGCTACGTTATACATACACATATAAACATCAATTGTGTCTTGCTTTCTTGATTTTGTTACCAAGAGATGTTGAATTAAAGAGACTATCGATCTCTCTAGAAACATTCAGAATGATCATTCTCCTGCTTTTATAGGAATTTCTAACCTTCAAACTTCTCGACGGGACTCCCTTAGGTTTCCTCGGCGCCGGCGGACAAACATTTGGAATTGCCGGGAGAATTTGGTCGAGGCGTGTCGGAGTCTTGCAGAAATCTTCTTCTTCTTCTTCTTTCTTCACCTTTACACCATCTTCGCGTGAGCAATTAGCTATCTCTCGGACTTTAATATCAAGATCTTGATCTTGCCGTAATTCTTGAACGCTCCGGTCTGAAAACCCTAAAGAGGGTACACGAAGGAACCCTAGTTCCGTTTCACAGAGATTGTTTTGATCGGAGAGACAGATTCCAGCGTCCGAGAAACCCATCTTTCTGAAGAAACGTAGCTCAAACGTAAAGAGAAGGTAGTTAAGTAGTTCTGATGAATGATGTGAAAGAAAGAGAGAGAGAGAGAGAGAGAGAGAGAGTTGATGGCTTTTTTGGTGGCTTAATTTGCTTTATATAATGGTAATATTATGTATGTCTTTATTATAGTAATTGTGTATTTGTAAGATAATTTCATTTGAGAACATTCGGGATCTTAATTAATGTTGAGGGATCCAATGCAACAAATATACTTTATGTATAGTCAGGTTTTCGTCAATGTGGTTAATCTCTATACCAATCACATGCTTCCCGCTTTTTGAGGACATATGTTACTTTAACATGCAGAAGATTATTTAACCAGCCACAAAATATTTAACAGAAAATATGCTTAACAAATATGAGGATTTGTTTATCAAATCTAATTTATTTTAAGTTCTCCTACTGAAAAACCGATATTTTTGTTTGTAATAGGATTTTCATTCGACTATTAATTTATTAAAATACAAACTCATATTTATTCATTCTGAATTTCGAAATTCGTATGCATTTGTCCCATTCTTATATTGGATTAATTAACTTTTTATTCCAATTAATAAATTAGAGTAGCAAACATATATAATAATTGTGTAAAGATAAAGAAAGTTGAAAGCGTATTGACATGGAAACGGTAAAAGGCCAGTTTTGTTGGTTGAAAAGAAAAAAGGTCAATTACTTTCCTTTATTCATAAGCTAAAAGAAATTATTGAATTTAGTGTCCAAAGTAAGATAGCCTGTCTCTTTCATCTTATTCAAATTTGGTTAAATCATCATTTTCTAATATTTACTATCTCCCTCTTAATTTGATCCTAAAACTTTGATCTCACATGCCTTCTATGTTATCACACACCCACCTATACATACACTCATAGACATCACCATATAACTTATTACCATTTAATTTGATCTATCATACATCCCACTACCTTTTGTGTGTATATCTATTCTAGATCAATTTATCTGACAAAATTAACGAATCGTTATGTACTAGACTCTATGGCGATTAAATAAAAGCGATCCGATGACATTAAACTATCCACCTATCTGACAAAATCATAAATGTTTATGATACAAATCTAGATTCTATCGACATATATCTCAACATTTGTCAATGGAAAGCAAGAATTGGTAACGAAAGTCAACACTAATAATAGGATCTAGTGTACATGGTTTGTCTCTGTTATATATAAACTAGTAATTAATAACAAAACAAAACAAAAAGATGGCAGGAGATCTAATTAAATTGTCCGGAATTTTATTAGATTAAGATGTGTAACATTGTCTCTTAACAAAACCCCAACGCATGTGTTTATTTTTCCAAATTAACAACATAATTAGAGACAAGATATTTAAACAGAAAAGAAAATGTTTTAGAGTAGTGACGATTTGTTATACTTCGTAGAAAATACTTGTTTTCTTTTTCAAGTTACCAAATGCCCTCTGCTTCCAAAAAGCAATAATCCAAGATTTCTTCACGTAGATAGAAACGTTTCAATCAAATCACGAGAGAATCTTTGGTAATCATAATCGGACAAAAAATAACAACGTAACTCAAATTCATTACAAATAAAAATAATAAGTAAAACACAAATCATAAATAACCATAGAAAAAATCATCTAACTAAACTTGCAGTAAGCAAACTGATTACACGAACCAGTAATTTTATTTTGGTCGACTAAACAAATCAATACAAGTTTTTTATTAAAAAAAATAACAGCAAAGAAGGAAAAATCCTAGTACAATTCTTAAAACGCGGTTAATTAGTTACGTGTCTCTCAACACACAAACGCGAAAATAATTATGTGAAATGGTGGCACCAAATGCGTTTGTTAGATTTGTTGAAGATCACGTTTTTTATCACCATCTACCACCAAAAAGTATATTACTTTTTCAAAATAATGATAATCTTAGATCAAAATTCTTGGGATTCTTTAACAAAGTTATCCCAATCAACAACTGATGTAATGTTAAGCAGTTTACTTAACTTCTTGTTCAGCAGTTTATCCACCTTTACCAGTAAAAAACGGATAAATAAACTAAAGTTATAAGCACACACTCTCATGGAGCATAATTGAAATATATCTCATGCTCAATCATTATGCCTCCCATCATCTATTTCTTCATTCTACCCAGCCTTGTATTTTTTTTGTTTTCCTTCATTGGCTTTTAGTTTCAATTTCAGTGTAATTACAATCATTGACTCTTAATAATGTAGTTTGTCCGAACATATCTCTCTCTATAGACAGCTAAATATCATTACAAAATCTTGTCTTGTTCATACATGATTTGTCCAAGAACTCACTGCTATTATTCTTATAATAATGTATTCTATATAGCACCAAGGAATATACACATCTCTCACATCACAACGCAAACAAATTCTTAGTGCTGATAAGATATATTTTGTTAATTTCAAACCATGTATTTATTGTTTTATATCGTTTTTTAACAGAGAAGATCCTATCATCAGTAGTAATGTTTACATACAAATGTATTCTCCATACTAAAGCAGTGACTATGCTTTAAGCCTACACTACATCAATCAAAAGCCGAGTGACTATGCTTTAAGCCTACACTACATCAATCAAAAGCCGAACTGAAGTTGTATTTTTTTTTTGTTGAAGAAACTAACGTTTAAAAAAGGAAGTAGACCCCAAAAGAGAAAGTAAAAACTAAAAGTTAAAAACAATCAAACAACAAAGTTCCTGTGAACAAAAACAAAAATCTTATGAAAAAAGTTTACCGGTTTCACATGACCAGCATGCAAAAATGCTCTATACTATGTCCCGCCCATAAGCGGATTCGAACCCATGTGATAAGTGTTTAAAAGTGGTCTTGTTACCATTAGACTGAAGACAAAAGAAAATATGAAAAAATATATATGATTTTTTTTCCAACTATTTTAAGTAGAGTAAGCGGAATTGGATAATGAATACGTGATGTTTAAAATCATAAAATATACAAATTTTTACTCTTTTCATTTCACAAATAAATCGTTTTAGAATTTTATTTTTATTTCATAAAAAATGTCATTTAATATTTCCAATGTAAATTTTTAAACAAAAGTTCAATTTTAATCTGTGTTGCATGGAAACAGAAACAGGTACGTCGAAATGGAACATTTTAAAATATGAAAACGCTATTTTAAAAAAATATAGAAATAGAAAAGTTTTGGAAACATATATATATTATATATTAAGCATTAAACATCTAAATTATATTATAAATAGAATATATAAATCAACAAAATCTAATATATAATTTTTACATAATTATTAAAGAATAAAAATAAAAATATGTAAAATCAAAAATTTAGAAAATTTTTTTTATTATCGATTTCATTAGTTCCATTAACCAAAACTATCTCTAATTCTAATTTATTAAGAGAAAATTAAATTGATCACTAATCTTATTTATATAATTATTTATTTTATCCAAAAAATAAAAATTAGTTTTTATCTTGTTTCTAAAATAGAAACATGTTTCCAAAGTGTTTCTAAAATGAAAATACATTTCCAAAATGTTTCCAAACTAGAATTTTTAGAAAACGTGATTTTTGTGTGTTTCCGACGAATTTCCAAAATATTTCGGAACCGGAAAACACATCTCAGACAAAATTTCCATGTAATATAGGTTTTAATTTTATTATATTAGTATTTTAATTAGAAAAAAAAATTGTTTGATGTGTTTGTAAAGAATAAAAGTTTTTTTTATTAAAATTTTTAATAGGTATGAAAAAAGTAAAATGACATGGAGAGGGTACTATTTTTACTTTTTAACTACTGGTCTTTTAATTTCACCGTCCCACTTATCCTCTTTATTCCTTAAAATTCTCAATGTATATATACATTTGAAAATTTTTTGGCCTAACTCTTTGTAAAATTTTGGCCTAACTCTTTGTTCCCATCAACAGATGTCAGATATTGCTAAGCATGACACAGTCACAGAGATCAAACTAGTTGTGATAAGTCGTACCTTCTGAATTGGATTTTTTCTTTTCTTTTTATGTTCATCATAAATTATTTTGCAAGCAACTGAACTCAATAAATGAAACCTAGTACTCAAATTGTGAAAGTGAAAGACATGTGCAGTGTGGGGGCTACAAAAATTTAGTTAAAAGGGTAAGAAAACTACTTATTATATAAAAACCAAAAAAACTTTTATCAGAACACATCAATCAAATAACTTATTTTGAGAATTTTTCTCTTACAACTAATATAAATAATAATATATCTTTCTTTTTCTTCTATAGAAATATGATAATTTTTTAAAAAAATTTAAATAAACAAATGATAACTGTTTAAACTTTAAACCCACACCAAACACACCAAAGCAAGAGATGACACTTACTAATGTCTCTTTCGATCATTGTCTTTCACTGAACCACTACAAAACTCCATAACTGCATTAGCAGGAGCTTTAGTCTTAAGAATCATCTCTTCGAACTCATCTTCTGGGTTTGATAACGCAACGATCGCTCCTCCTGCTCCAATGGTAGCTTCGTCTTCATGTATCACCACTGTTCTTATCACAATATTCAGATCAAAAGTGCCATTATACGAGAAATACCCGATTGAGCCAGAGTAAAGTCCTCTCGAACAGTTCTCTAGAGAATCAAGAATCTCGACGGATCTTAGTTTCGGTGCACCGGTCATTGAACCGCCGGGGAAAGCTGCTCTCACACATTCGACCGGACTAATGTCTGGCTTTTTCAGCCCACGGATCGTGCTCACCATAGTGTGTACTGTTGTGTATGTTTCTACGTCCATAAGGTTAGGCACATGGACTGAACCAGGTTCACAGACGCGGCCGAGATCGTTCCTCAGAAGGTCAACAATCATCAGATTCTCGGCTTGATTCTTCTCACTGATTACAAGACACGAGACAAAAGTAACCACTTAGAAACACATTATGGCCAATACTTAGGCTAGTAGAAGAAGTAGCATTGTCATGCCAATTAGAACAAAGACACTAGAACAATCCGAGACTCTAATGATATGCAAAGGCTAAAGAATTTGGGAAGAGGTGTTTCGTGTTACCTGAGTTTCAATTGCAATTTGAGAAGTTTGTCTTCTTCAGGTGTGGAGCCACGGGCTATAGTACCTTTAATCGGCTTTGCTTCCAGCATTCCATTTCTGTCAAGCTGAAGAAACCTTTCAGGGGACGAACAGCATAAAGACAGATTCGCATTTGAGAAGTTGAGAAATGCTGCGTATGGTGCTGGATTCTTCTCTCTCAGGTGGAGATAAAGACCCAAAGGATCAGCGTTCCCTATTCTACTTCTGCTCTGAGTAGTTAGACAAAGCTCGTAGCTCTCTCCGTCTCTGATATAGTTCATACAGCTCTGAACATCGTTGATATACTGCTCTCGGGATTTGTCAGGGACAAAACTTGTTTCGCGTTGAGATGAATCTAAAGCATGTTGAGTTTGATCCTTCCACTTTCTCGTGGACGAAACCTTCAGGCTAATGAGCTTCTCTTCAGTATCATTCAGGAAAGAGGTTTCTGCGTTGCCGTCTTCGTGAAGAGATAATACGTAAACATCATCAAGGTGATGATCAATGGCGGCTATATTATCCGCAAAGAAGAAACATGCATCCGGAGCCTTGGATTTGTGCAGATTAGTTGGCATTCCACATTCGACTTTAACATCATACCTACAATACAAGAAAAGGTGATTAAACATTCATTCCAGAAGTCTCCTCTATGGTATGGTATTAGGACCAAATTGTATAATAGAAAGCCACTTATGATTGTCATAGAAATTCATAGTCTAAACGATTTAACACGTACCCAATACAACCTACGTATCCACCACAAAAATCAAAAGGCAACCCTTCGAAGTCCTTCTCATCATAAGATATAGATGAAAGCTCCTGGTAAAAATACAATTGAGTAATTTTTTAATGACTTCATAGCAGAAAAATATATCAACTCCATTGTTCAAATTATGCCTTAGATGATCCACTAGACTAGCTATGTCGTAAATTTACCAAGTGTTGGAACAAACCAGAGTAATTCCATACTAGAGTAAAGTCTTTCGCCATACCTTATGTAGAAAATCAAGAAAGCCTTCTTCCAAGAACCGTTTCTCAGTAGAACTGTGAGAATCTTCAATCAGAAGGTGTCCAGCATGTTTAGATGTTTTCTCGCTGAAAAACAAAAAAAAGTCATAAAACTTCAATGTTTCAGTTCCCATGAAACGATGCATCATTGTGAGGATTAACTAAGCCATAACGATATAATCACGTGTAGTATATTAAGAAAATTTGCAGGCGGAAGGGTTATGGTGCTCAAGTAAAAAAAAGAGCATAAACCTTTACGCCGATAGAGAAAGAGCATGCGTAAAACCTTTGATCAGATAAACTAAATGTCAACTGCTTCCAGAGGGATCCACCTTTACCGCCCATGAAAGAAAATCTCCCTCTAGCCTGGAACAACGTAATTGGAAAGAACATTCTTTAGAATCAAATAGATGACATATTGTCACGAGGAGGCTAACACAAATAGTGACAATGGTAGCAACTATCGCGACTTCAGGAGAATAGACTACCAACCTTGTCACTAGAAGAAGTATCCAGCCAAAATGCATCATTCCCTCCACTCTTGCCAAAGAGTTCCATGAATATATTTCTTGATCCACCAACTTTATGTACAAGACGTTCAAGCTTCTTCCATTTCAACCTCAGCAATTTTGCATGAGGTTTTTGATATGATAAATCCACCAGATTCAAGACGTCTACACCACTTGTCTTGGCAGCAAACAGAGACTTCTTATGGCTCCCATAAAAGCTAGAACCGTTTCCTGTACTTCTAGTTCTGGAAAGTTCTTTCAGCAATTGACTGGCACCAGGCATCTGCATGTTTGCTAAAAAATATTCATTATTCAGGAGAAGCTCCATGACAGTTAATTATAAAGTAACGACACAGAACACTAAAACATAAAGAGGTCACCAAATGGAAAAAGATATGAGAGAAGCAGAAATGACATTCTAACTATTAAGCTCACCCCTGTCTTTTCCGTTTCTTGGAACTAAGGATGGAGGCTTGCAGCGACTCCAATAATCCACAGTTATGTCTTTGAAATTCTCGAATATTTGACTTCCATAGGTGGTAGCGATACTCTCTGGATGAAACTGAAAGCAAGATGCATATCAAAGACAACAGAACAATGAAGGAAACTTGGCCCAAAATAGATCTCTAATAAACATCAAACCTGTAAACCATAATGAGGAAAAGTAGAGTGCATAATGCCCATGAGAATGTGTCTATTTTGTTTTCCATCAACATGGGATGAAGGCCAATAATTGACAGATCCGTTCCCCAGTGGGCTCCCAAAGTTATTCACAGGAACAGAGAACTTCTTCTCAGAGACAAAACCAGTTTCATCATAAATCGTCCACGCTATTGGTACAAGCTCCTTTGGCAGTGATTCCTTGTCTATGATCAGCGAATGGTATCTGACAACCTGCAGAATTTGAGCCCCAACACAAATTTGTACTTTGTATCTTTAGAGATAAATGAAAGTTGCATGTAAAAAAGTAGATGACCTGCCTTGAAATCAGAGTTTCTCCCAGATGGAATATCAGAAAACAGTATGTTCCCATCATGTTCTATCCCACTGCACGAAGTAGATGGAAACGGTTAGTAGAGTATCTAGCAGACACTTATAAATGAGAAATGATGGAGAAATGACAAAATATCAACAATAGTAAAAGTGTTTTGAGTTATTAAAAGCCACAGAGCGAGCATCCATACTGAAAATCACATTCCACAATACCTCAACCGCCCATGAACTGGTTCCGGGGCATGCACCACATGAGCTCCATGAACATAACCCAGTGCCTGTAAAAGCATGTTGTCTTGGTTTATATAAGTTCAGAGAGAGATAAACCACTCATTTTTCATGACTGTGTAAGAACTAAATCCGAAAAAAGCTCAGAAATATAGGAAGTGCTGTCATCTTTCATGAAGATAGAAGTACCTGGTGGCCAAGGCAGACACCTAGAATTGGAATATCACGACATTCAAGCAAAAGGCGAAGACATATTCCTGCAGAGCCAAAGTAAAGTTCGAGAAAAGACAATTAAAGGTGGGTCTCTATAACAGGGCATAATGCAAAAACTCAACAAAAACTTGGCTGGTACCTATATCAGCAGGGCACATCGGAGAACCAGGTCCAGGTGATATAACAATATTATCGAAAGCAGCTTCTTCATATAAGTAATGGTAAGCTTCTTCCCACGTCCACTCATCATTTCGAATAACCACAGGAGGCACTACACAAGATACAACAAGTTTGAAAAAAAGCGTGCATAAAGAGAGTGCCAGAGAGAAAGTTAGAAGAGGAGATGAAGTTACCTCCATTAATAGTACTCAGTGCCTGATAGATATTGAATGTATAGCTATCATAATTATCAATCAACAGAGTCCTCACAAAGCCAAGCCTTTCTACAGTTTCTCTTCTCGGTAGACTCTTCTTAGCAGCAATCGACGAATCTTCCAAGCGTCCTGGCACAAAATGTCTTGATGCGAAAACCTTACTCGTACCACGACGATGCAAACTAATGAATTTCTTCTTCCAGATTTCATCAAACCTAACCAATTCACGAGATAGGAACCGGCCTGCGGCTGAATATCTCACAACACTGTCACTTGGATATGAAATCTCCGGTGAGGTTGAGCGAAACGAAAAATTCATGTTCATGATTCGCCTGCCAAAGAAGAGAGACAGAGAGTTTTTTAAACAATCTTAAATTCAACAACACAATTGATTTTGCCTCCCATCATCAATTTTATTCTCATATCATCCAGAATCAGTGATGTTTCTGAGAGTATGAAAACTGTTTCACTGAACGAAATTAGGGTTCTTATTTCACGGAATCAACAACCCCATAACTTGAAAGTTTCATTTTCCAAAACATCAGTCTCTATAACACACTGAAATTCGATTCCCAATCCTCAAAAAAAAAAAAAAACTCGTATATACTCGCGAAAATGGAAAGCGAATCGTTAGAACTAAATCTCTCTCTCTGCTTAGATTCCTCCTAACGATCTACTTTGAATCAACACAGAAACAGCCATAGGAGAGATAATCAGAGATGCGAAGCGGAGGAAGAAACTTACGTTTAGATTCGAAAACTGAGATTAAGATTCGAAAGTTCGAATCGTCTGAAGAAGAAAACGGGAGGAAGAAGCTTGCTTGCTCGAAATGAATGGAGAGAGAAGAACGCTGCGGAGAGCGAGGAAGAACAACAAATGGTGAAGAAAGGTAACGCTTTTTATAACAGTGAAAGAAACGAGAGGACCCAACTGTGCCGGGTTTTATGAACATTCATTTACCTTTCAAAATTGTAATTGGAAGTAGTTTTTGGGAAAATAATAATAAATGTTTTAATAGTCTTATCCACTATATTAAAAATAAAATTAATTATTATGAATAATAAAAGGTTTTACTAGATTTTAATTATAATCATTCATACAAAGCAATTTAATTATAATCAATTCTATTAGATTAGTAATAACCATTTATTTTACTCCAATGCTATGTACTTTTTATTTATGCTATAAAAATATTTAGCTACAAAAGGATTTTGAGTCTTTGTTGATCCATGTGTCTACAATCTAGGGCCCTATAATTTCATACACAATTACAAACTTTAGAAATTTTCAAACTTGATATTAATTTTTCATTAATACTATAAAATTTATACAGTTATCAATTGTCCCACTCAATAAATTCTAAAATTGCATTATGTAGTGAGAAAAAAAAATTTGAGCTTCATTGGTGCATGTGCCTAATTATGCCTCAAGTGGCAGCGTATTTACTATTTTTTGTCTTTCCTCTTAAATTTATCATTTTTTACTTATGTCTTTTACTTTTGTATATATTAATAATATTTTCTTAAAAAAACAAAATAAATTTATATCAATATGAAAATAATTATTCATAAATATGTTATTATACTCCTTCTATTTCATATTATTAGTTGTTTAAAATGTTTTTGTTTGTGTCAAAATATAAGTTATTTTTCAATAGTTTATGTAACTTTTAGTTTATTAGATATTGTGTATCTAATGATATTAAACCATTATTTTAAAAGTAATTGATTAGAATTTTTTAGTTATTTATTAAATGATACTTTTTAAATAAAACTATTTTTTTTAATCTTTCTGTTTTTGCTCAAAACAACTTATATTTTAAAACGGATATATTATATACAAAGAGAGTTACCAAAAAAATATTTCTGTATTACATATATAAATTAATTCATCCAAAACAGACATAATATTATTATTATTATTATTATTATTATAAAACAAATGGGAATCTATCAACCAGAAGATTTTAATTTTTCAAAGGGTTTAAAGTTAAAGATAGACAAATTTTTACTACATATAAATAAATTGAAACACCCCATGAGTCTGAACTCTGAAGTGTCAGAACATGATTCACAAAAGAACAAGTTTGAGAACGTTTGACAAAGCTGTTAAGATTAGTTATATAACCCAATATAGACTGTCGCGTGTGGAAGTTTTCTACGGCGTCATTCTCTAATGCCTTCAAACTATATTTGAAAAAAAAAACATAAGATCGCACGACAGACACAGTTTGATTAATAAACTAAATTTTGTTGATATGAACACTATTGTACATGTGTCTGTTGTGGTTGATAGGAGCACTAAATTTTGTTGATATGAGCACTATTGTACATGGCTAACAAAAAAACGTTAGTTTAGTATTATACAAAAATGAAAAACAAATTATCACGTACTTTTTTTGAAGATGAATCTTTTCAAATATGTCAGAACAAAAACTACTTAATTTTTTTTTCGATGGCTCTTCTGAAATTTGATGACAAAACAAGTGACTGGAAAGATCGAGTTTTTGATAAGACAAGAACAAGAAAATAAAATTGATAATTTCTTTTAAAATAGACAACATAAGAAGAAGTTTGACTAATATGCTAGTTAGGAGGGGTTATCTTCATTTATCAACAAAAATAATGCAAACGATGCAGAAAACAATACTAGCAAAGAAAATTTATTGTTAACAGAATTGCGATTACATCACGATAATCAGAAGTTTTTTTTTAGTAATATGTTGGTACCTACTATCTAAAGCTATCAAATAGGCGGGCTATCCATGGACAAGCCCGGTCCAAATCATTTTGGACAATTATGGTCATGTCCAGATAGACAAACTGTCCAAATAGGCTACACCCAAATTTGTCCGTGGCCGAAGCGTTGCCAACTTATGGATTAACGGCGAGTCGGCGACTTAGGAATGTGTCGTTGAAATTGTTGAGTACCCATATGATTCTGAAGACATTCACAATTGTCGCTAGTTAGCCACAATTTTAAAGTTAGGTGCAACATTTTCAATATGTTCGATCAATATTTTAACGAGGAATTGGGTCGAGGACAATCTAGTAGGACTAGTACTAGCATGAATGTTGAGGGTTCAACAAATGACCAACTCTGAGCGACTGGAGACGTCAAGAGATCAAGTAGACGACTAAGCTCAACAGAAAAGCAACTGAAGCGGCAGCGGTGGAAATCCCGCCATGGGACGACGATTAGATTTATATATGATCATATTTAACTACTTTTACTACATTATAATTTTTTTTTATAAAACGAAATGAACCACATTAGCATTGGTGGTTAGCAATAAAACATTCGAAAATATCACATGTTTATTCATCGTTACTTAGTGACGTACCGTTTTAATTGTTACCGGAAAGTGATTACTTCTATCATTGTTACATTAACATTATAAAAAAAAATTTTAATAGAACATTAAATTTATTTACAGAAAACAAAAATTATTTGACATCAAGTGCAACATTGAACTTAAACTTTTAGAACAAAAGATTTAAAACTAAATACAAATTAGCATCCAATCTCAAACCATTTGAGATGGCCTCTTCATATTTTGTATCCATTTGGTGAATCGTTGAAAATCGATCGCGTACTGCATTGTCGATAAGTTGAGTAAGCTGATTATCTAAGGAGGGTGTTCAATTTAATAAAAACGTCGCTAATCTTGAGTGTTGGTAGTTAGCAATAAAACATTTGCTACTTGACTACTAAAACATCAATCTATTAGGAACAGAGGGAGTAAGAAATGTTTATTTGGTGACTTACTTAAATTGTCACTGAAAAGTAATTACCTATATCTGTTACAATGTCGCTAAAAATTTCAATTGTTAACAACGAATTACCAATGTTTAATATTTTTTGCTAACTCAACGACAGATTAGCAATGATTGTTTAGCGACTAGACTCAGTCTGTTGTAACTCTGTCCCTAATGGTTAATGGCATAGAATAGCGACGATATCTTTTGTTGCTAATGGCAAGTTTTGTCGTAATGAATGATAATCTAACCGACATATTTTTTTAAGAATCTTGTGTTTTTGTTGTTGTTTTGATTCACCATTTTTAAAAAGAAATATTTTTCTAAATGTTAGGTAGTTATAGTAAAAACTACACTTGAAATTATAAAACAAACATTTATTTCGAAACCTAAAATAATTTTCAAACGCCATTAATTTGTGGAACGAAGGTGATACTATCCTAACTTTGAGAATTAAATTTCTTATTAATTATGTTAGGTTAACACTTCCAACACGTATCAATTAGCTTTCAAATTGTTTTTTTTTTTTTTTTTTTTTAACAAAACCTGTTTCCGAGTATCAAATTGTTTTCTCACAGTACTTCCAAACTCTATGGAGGTTAAACTAAAAAGCCAATAAGCATTATGAAACTGAAGATCAAGACTTGAGAAAAGTACAATGGGAGGAACTTAGAACACAAAGATCCAAACTTTGAGTTGCCTAAAGAAACAGGACAGAAACAGAAAGATAGGCCACGTTTTGGGTGGGAAGTAAGAGAAGTTAAGATGAAGAGAGTTTCGAACCATTAATGGAACAAAAGTAGATAGCTTCTTTAACTCTCTCTTCATCTCATATCCACCACTTCCTCTTCTTCTTCCTCTTGCCACATTTACTTCTCTATTCCATTATAGTTAGGAGTTGGAAGACACATAACTACTTCAATAGCTTGCATTTTGACCAATAAGCAAATGGTTTCCACAAATATCAAATCTACACAAAAATCGTCTTAAATTATAAGTCAAAGAGGTTGGTTTTAAAAGACTTGGATTCTTCGTTGAATATATATTTATTGGAGAACCATAAACAATCAAAACAGATATAGATAATAAAAGCATTGACTTGTGTTAAGACTTCATGTTTATTAGTTCAGAGGCAAAACTTTTACTTACTGTTTATTAACATGATACATAATTTTGAAATGTTTTCTCCGAGTTTGTTGTATCGAGAAACCTGATCATCTCAGAAACACTCTCTATGTTCATATATGGTTTTTGTTTTTTAAACTTTTAATTATACACAAGATTTCCACATTCTTCCTTCTAAAGAGATCACTACAATGGAAACATCATCGTGGTACCGTCTCCGTTCCCCTTGTGGTATCTCAAGCAGTTCATGAAAATCCATACCTAGAAAAATCAAACAACAAAGTAAAAACAAAAGTTAGATTCTGATCAAGACACAACAACACTTCTGAATCAAACGTTTTCTCAATTCGACATTATTATTACCGGCTTTCTTAGCAGCACGGAAAAGAAGTTCTTGGACCAAATGTTGCGCCGGGTCACCTTCAGGCTGCAACGTGATGAAGAGCTCGACCTCTGAGACGGCTTCTTCGTTTGTGAAGTATTGGTACAGACCATCGGAGGATAGAATCAGAAACCGGTCTTTCGAGCCTAATCTATGATGGTAAAGCGACGGCAAGCAGTTTATGTAAGGAGACGTCCCTTTGTAATCGATTTGGAACATTTCAAGAAGTGCATTGTTCCATTTAGGCTGCAAAAATGTTGTTATCCCATTAGATACAAAACATTCTTTCCTTAATGAATCAAGAAACTGATGATGAAATGTTTAAGTTACCTGCTTGAGGAAACCTGCACCGAAAGCTCTTGTGACCTTTAATGAGCCTTTAACACGTTCATTCGACACTGCGTTAGCATCATCCGGGTGCTCTTTTCGTATTCTATCAACTTCCTGAACAACAAAAGCTCGATTTTTTTTATCAAACTGTTCTTCGATAACTATGCGAAAACGACATAGTTTCTTCCTTACCTCTTCTACATTTGTGCTATGATCAACGGTAAGCTGAAAAGCTGAAAGATTCGGGACCAAACTAGCTCGTTCTCCATCGAAATCGTTCATGGTTTCTTCGTTGATTCGTTCCAAATCTTGTTTGATCTTCCCTATCCAATACTCTGTCTCAGCTTTCTGTCCAAGAACTGCTCTACTGTCTCCGACATTCATCAGATAAACGTCTTCGCCTTTCATCAGCATCACGAGAACACAAGAACCCATCAAAGCTAGTTCAGGATTTTCGTCGAGCATCATATCTGCAATCTCTAGGTAAGCTTCTTCCGTCTTTCTCAGTGCCTCTGACAAAGCCTTTAAAACGTCAGAGGAGTTCGGATCCGGACCCGGAGGATCCGACCCGTTACTCCTCCGGTTGATTTTTTCCTTCAGTAAACGGTCAAGATCGAGTCTTTCTCGATCCCATTCGCATCTCCACCTCCGTTGACTTTCCTCGCATTTCCTTGACTTCCGATCATCGTTCTTTGACTTTTTCTCCGAGCTCGAATCACTGTTTCCACTCGGACAAGGATTGTTGTTGTTGTTGTTGTCGTGATCGACGGAAACGGAGGAGGAATCTTGAGAGTTCGAGTCGGTTTTGGGATCGTCCCATAGCAATCCTTTGAGCTCACGATGAACGGCTGGATATAAATGTGAGAGGAGGTAATCCGGCGCATCTGGACCGTTGAATCCATCGTAGATTCCGACGAAGAGCCATCCGTGTTCTTCCGACACGACTACGTGTACACGATCCTCACCGGCTTTCCCTTGAGCCCACTGAAGATTCTGGCTTTCGAGCGAAACGTCGTCGTCTAAGCTCCCTTCGCTGCTGAAGTTCAAGCTGTTCACCGTGAGATTCTCGTTGTGGTGGTGGTTGTTGTGCTGATTCCGGGTTTTGTCCGACCCGAATACCCAATCGGGCTCTTTAACCGTTTTAATCGGGGCCACGATCGAGTTCTGTCCTCCTCGATTGATCGTCTTGGAGATCGCTCGACGGAGAACCCGAACAAAAGCTCCTTTTCTTGACCCGACCCGATTAGCTAAACCATGAGAGAAGCTACGCTGGAATTGATCGGATTCGGAGCCGGTTTTATCAAGCGGACCGGAGAATAAACCTAAACCGTCAAGCGGACCGGACATAAATCCTCTCTCGATCGGACCAGAGAGAAATCCTCTTTCTAACGGACCCGACCCGGGAACAATCGGGCCGGAGCTTCTCGGAATCGGCTGCAAAGGGATCGACGAGAACGACGTCGTGCAATCGAACGCGGCGGCTCTGTCGATGTGTCCGTACGGATCGTAGAGAGAAGTAGAGAGTGGGGTGGCGGCGTTTGCACTTACCGATGCACCGGAGATTGTACGGAACGTCGTCGTCGTCGTGTCGTCCTCTGAGTGAACTTTAGAAGATGAAATCCGGGTCGGGTCGGGTCGGACGTAGCAGAAGGAGTGGCCTAATCCTTCGTCGAGAGGATCCGGTTCCATAATCGCCATCTCTTTTTTCCGGCGACTTTCGCCTCCGCCGATGAAACATTTGCTCAGCTTCGTAATTCCGTTGCCCATTTAAGAATCACTACTTAAAAAACCAATATTTTTGGTTCTTTGAAAGAATGAGAATTTAGATGCAGTGACGAGTTTAGAGAAATTTTTTGAAGGTTAGAAGATTACAATTGAAGTTGTTCATCCATGGTAGACAGAGGTTGAAGAAGATGCGAGAGAGAGAAAGAGAGAGAGAGTTGACTTCTGTGCAGGAAAAATGATTTTTTGAGTGGAAATTATAAAGGAGAAGAGAGAATATATGAAAATAAAAATGTGAGAGATATTATAATATTATTCTTTTATGTGTGTTAAATCTGAAAAGGAAAAAGAAATTGACGAAGATGAGTGAAAAAATATAAATATTTTTGTTTCTTTTTAATTTAAATTAATTATTTTCTTTTCCACAGAGCTCTCTGGACGCGAAGAGGGTTGACTCGTGGCCAAGGCAAGGGTTGGAGTTTTTTTTTAAAGTCAGGAGATTTTTGAAATGTGTGTCTACTGTTCACTCTCGAAAATAAGCGCGTTTAACTCACGCGTTAATTTAAATTACTGTTGAAAATTGCTTTTTATTTGGGTCAATATGACTCAAATTCAAATTGTTACGGAAAGCTTTTTCTTTTGTGGAATTTGAATTTGTAATTTAACTTGATATAAAACATGTAAATCCTATTACTTTTGCTCCAAAAAATTAGTAACTCAGATAAAATACTGTTACTATATACTTCAATCTAAAATAAAAATATATAGTTAATTTTGTATTAGATAAAAAATATGAAATTATATATTAGAGATAGCGCGTGGGATTAAAGTTGAACAGGCCATAGGGATTAAAAACTCAAGGTGTGGAAAAATTACAAAGACCAATTAAGGAGAGAAGGAGATCTTAGGGATTTAGACTTTTTTTGTAAAAAAATTTGAAAATCTCTGAAAGTCAAAATAGCCACAGTTTTCTTCAAACAATTTTTTTTGTTCTCATACAAATTAAAGTTCTTCGAAAGTTGTGCCTACTATCACCGTTGGATCTCGTAATGGTCTGAAAGTCTGCCACGTGTTAGCCGATCATTGACTCTTCGGTTATTTCATAAATTCTCGTCAACTCTCATGATGCTTCTTCGGTTCCTTGCCTGCTGCTTAACCATCACTCTCTCTCCTCTCTCATATGTCATAAATATTTAATTTAGACTTTATTTCTTAATTAATGTCTTTTTCCAACTAAAAACTTGTAATGTTCTCTCTATTATTTAATGCTAAGTGTTCTTTTTTTTGTTAATTATACACGTCTAATGTTTTTTTTTCATTTTATGGAGTGGATGGTATATATTTATATATTGTGGTTGGAGATTGTGATAATTACTATTCTAAATCACGCCAGCAGGACTCGAATGGTGGAATCATTTCCTTTTGTGTGCGATTTGATTGAAAATAGACTAAAAAGAAATATATGTACATTACTCTCATTTGCATGTACTGTAGTAGGTTTTTATTTTCGACATTAAGTAGTAATATACATTTCCAAAAAAGAAGTTACATACATTACATAACTATTATCAAACAGAGTAAAAAATAGTGAAAATCACTAATTTTAAAAATAGTGAAAATCACTAATTCTGTTTCAAATCAATCTTAGTTTTATAATTTTTAAATAAAAAACCTCAAAATTGCCAATTCTTGATAATCTATTAAATTTACATATTTTATTCATATTTACATACCTATTAGTAAACTGTGATTTTTAACTTATAGTAATTACATATTTTTAGAAAATAGATAATTACATTACTTAGCTATTTGATTGTGAGTAGGATAAAAAACAAGTAACTCAAGCAATTGAAATCATAATGCAAAAAACAAATTCTTATCTAGAAGATTATTTTGAAGTTGCAATTTTGGTTTAGTGATATAAAATTCGGAATTCACCAAAATTTACACACAGGTTGCTGAACGATTCCATGAAAATATGAAGATTTTTGTTTATATGATTTTTGATACTGTATTATTTAGTATCTAAATACATTATAAACTAAACTCAAAAGTTCAAATATAAATAATTTTGGGATACATTTAACAAATCAGTTACATATCTATCTTATTTTTACAATTTTTTTAAAAAAAGAGGGAAATATATATAATCCATTACAAATTTATGTTATTTTTTAAACTATAAAAGGATAGCAAAAATAGAAATCGCCAATTTCATTGAAAAAATTAATGACTTTAAAAAATAGAAAGTTACGATGCATAGCTATTTGATTTCAAGAAAAGTAGAAAACTAGTAACTCTAAAAATTACAATATGAGAGAAAATTCTTCTCTAATTAAAATAGAATAAGATGATTTAAAATTTATAGCTTTTGTTTGATATTTTGAATTCAATGCAAACTAAACTCCAGTCCAAACTTTAAATTTATGGAAGTTTTTGAGTTAGATTTATAAACTTCTTTGAGATGAATTTTTAAAATCTATTACAAATCCATCTTACTTTTAAAAAATTCATAAACAAAAAAGTGGGAAGCACCAATTTTGTTACAAAGCCATGCTATTTTTGAGATTTTGAAAACCAAAAGGAAAAGTGAAAATCTCCAATTTAAATAAGAATCTATTAAATTTTGAGATTGCTTCTACATTTACATATACAATAGAAAAAACTTTGATTTTCAACATACAGTAGCAACATATATAACATAGCTATTTGATTTCAAGTAGAGTAGTTTAACTAGTAACTCGAGTATTTAAAATTACAATTTCAAAGAAAAGTTTAATCTAATTTTATTATAAAAATAAAAAATCAGAGATCTGCTTTGAAAACATTTTTTTAATGAATTGGGGATCTATTACAAAAGGATGACTTTGAAGTTGTAATTTTTCTTTAGTATCTGAATTCAGTGCAAACTAAACTCAAAAGTCTTTGAGTTAGATATTTAGATGAATTATTTTTGAGATAAATTTGGCAAATCCGTTACAAAGCTACAATACATTAATATTTTTTAAAGAACAAGTCGGAAACCCTAAATCAGTTACCAATTTATGTTATTTTGAAAATTGAAATATTGAATTCATTACAAGTCTCTGTTTTTTCTTTAAAAAAAAATGAAATACTAAATCACTTACAAAGACATCTACAATTTTTTTTAAAAAGTGGAAAATACTCAAACTCATCTTCTTTTAACGAATCACCAAAATTTATTTAGTATTTTAAATTCAATCCATACTAAAATCCAACATCCAAACTTGAATATAAAGGACGAGTTTAAGATGAATATAGAAAATCCATTATAATCCCATCTTATTATTAAAATATTTAGAATTAAGTGAAATTCACCAATATTATTACAAATTCTTTTCTTTTTTGTAAGAGAAAAAGAAAGGTGAAAGTTATCAATTTCGTTGAGAATCCATTATTTTTCAAAATTTCATCCACATTTACATATATAATAGTATGTAATATACTTTTATTTTCAATATATTGTAGTATCATATTTTTAAGAATTAGAAAGTTACATTACATGACAATTTGTTTTTGAGTATAGTGTGAATCTAGTAACTAAAGTATTTAAATTACAATCTAAGAGAAAATTATAATCTAATTTCATTACAAAAATATGATTTTGAAGTTATAATTTTTGTGTGGTGTCTTTAAATTTAATGTATATTTAACTCCAAAGACAAATTTTTAATTTTGTGTAAGTTTTTGAGGTAAATTTTAGATTATTTGATTTGAGACGAATTTGAAAAACTCATTACAAATCCGTCTTAATATTAGATTATTGGAATAAATTAATAAAAATTACCAAATCCATTACAAAATAATTTAATTTTAAGAAATTAAAAATAAAAATAAAAGAGGAAATTATTAATTTATTTGATAATCCATTATATTTTGAGATTCTTCCCACATTACATATACAGCAATAGAATTTTGTTTTCCACATATAATAGTAGCATACTTTACAAAAACTAGAAATTTATTATGAAATTAGTAATTCAAATATTTAAAATTACGATTTCAGAGAAAATTCTAATCTAGTTCCCCTACAGAAAAATAATTTTGGAGTTGCAATTTTTGTTTGGTATCATGAATTCAGTGCATACTAGACTTCAAAGTCCAGATTTTTAATTTTATTGAAGATTTTAAGTAGATTTTTAGATGAATTGTTTTGAGATGGTTTTGGCAAGTTTTACAAATCCACACTTTTAAAATTTAAGTTAAAATCACTATTTTTGTTACAAATTCATTTTACTTTGAATATTATTTTTTTTTAAATGAAAATTACCAGTTTTGTTGAGAATACATTATTTTCGAGATTCCTTCCATATTTACATATATAGCAGTAGATTTTTATTTTCAAAATATAGCAGTAGCATACATTAAAAAAGTGGAAAGTTACATTGGGTTAGCTATATGATTTCGAGTACAATATGAAACTAGTAATTCATGTATTTAAAATTACAATTCAATATAAAAGAAACTAATCTAATTCTATTACAAGAAGATTTTTAAGTTGCAAGTTTTGTATGGTATTTTGAAGTCAATGCATACTAATTACTCTAAGTTCCAAGCTTAAGTTTATGGAAGATTTGAGTTAAATTTTTAGAAAAATTAATTTTAAATGAATTTGAAATAATCCAACTTACTTTTAAAACTCTGGAAACAAAAAAGTGAGAATCACCAATTCTGTTACATATGAAAAAAAATGATTATCTTTAATTTCATTTAAAATTCATTATATTTTGAAATTCCTTTCACATTTTCATATTTACAGTAGTAGACTTTGATTTTCAACATATAGTAGTAGCATACTTTTAAAAATGAAAAGTTACATTGCATAGCTATTTGATTTCGAGTACAATAGAAAATTAATAACTCGAGTAAACAAAATTACAATCTGAGATAATTACTTTTTATCTATTTTATTTATAAGAAAATGATTTGAAGTTGCAATTTTTGTTTGGTATCTTGAATTCAATACATACTAAACTCCAAAATCAAAACTTTAATTCTATGTTAAAGCTTTAGTTAACATTTTAAATGAATTAATTTGAGATAAATTTGATAGATTCGTTACAATCCATCTTTTAAAACAAAAAAAAAATCCATTTTCTTTTTAAAATTTTATAAAGAAAGTGAAAATCATTTCCATTACAAATCCATCTTACTTTTAAAGTTTTGTAAGAGAGTGAAAATCATTTCCGTTACAAATCTATTTTACTTTTAATATTTTTAATAACAAAAAGAAAAAAAAAACGCTAATCTCGTTAAAAATCTATTATATTTTA